GCAAATTTGATTTTCCATTAAATTTAATTTTAACGCATTAAGATAAAAAAGCCAAAAAATATTTAGTATTTATTCACTTATTTATGTTTTTTAATTTTGTTAAATATTTTATGTTATTTAGTTACCCATTTTTGTATAAGATCAATGTCTTTTTTTACACGGATTTTTTTTTACACGGCTTCTTCTGGAACCAATCCACCGTGTAAAAACAGACTTAGGTGTATATATATATATATATATATATACATATATATATAGATATATATATATATATATATACTATATGTCCCGGAAAATTGCTGTTTTTACATATAAAGTAATTCAATTCTAAAGTAAATACGATAGTATTATTTAAATAAAAAAAATTAACAAAGTATACTTTTTATAGAATTTGCAACACCTTAAAACGATTTAGAACATTTTCAGACGATTTGAAACATTTTTAGAAAATTTGCAATATTTTTACGCGATTTGCAACATTTTTAGACAATTTTATAACATTTTCAGAAAATCTGAAGCATTTTTGATTCGGATGATTTTAAATATCTTCAGACAATTTGAAATATTATTCATATTATTATTATTTATCACAATATGAGCACACAATTTTTTTTTTTTTTCTATAAGTAATATAACACTTTTTACATCACGAACTTCTCAAAAATAAACTCTACGGCCGGGTAAAAGATGAACAAATGGTGTTCCGAAGACAATCAAATTATAAGCAAATTTCAAATGCAAGAAATAAGCTACTCTATATGCAGACAAATTAAATCAATAAAGTTAACAAGAAAGTAGTTGTCGAAAAAACTGGAAAAAATAAAAAAGAACTTTACTGACGACCAAACTACAAACAAAAAATAATAGTAGTTTTAGTGGCGATTAATTAGATGTCATGAACAAAAAGAACTCTACTGACAATTGAAATAGTACTCGTTCTCTTTTTCTCGGTTCAGTTTCTTTCACTTTCTTCAAACAAAATAATTAACTAGTGGTGTGTGGCATCGTGCCTTAATATTCGAGAAATTGTAAACGCTTTCAAACCGAATCTTTCGTTCGTTCGCAGAAAAAAGTGATAAAATTCAACTCTTTGCGGATCAGAGACATGGACACTAGTAAAACCTTGCAAAAACCACTCGGTAAAATTTAAATTGTTAACAATGACTACTAAAAAAATTGCTCTATAACAAAAAAGAACTCTACTGACAAACAAACTACTTGAAGATTAATGAAATATATAATAGGGATAAAAAAGGGATTCTACCTACAAGCAAATTTAATCTTGACTTAAAAAAAATAAAACCCCATTGACGATCAAACTGTAATTTGACATAAAATGAAACTATGGGTTCTACAAATCAAAATCGAACTCTACTGACGAGCAAACTCCATCTTGATAACAAAAATAAACTTCTATTCTATTCTAATTCTCAATACTATTTGTTTTCATATTTCTATCTCTGTCGCTCAGCACGGTTGTGTATAAATCGCTCTCTTTTACTCCAACGCTGTAAAGTTAGCATATATATATATCTCTCTCTCTCTCTCTTTTTATCACTATGCAATATCTTGTGTATATCTATTTGCTGTGCAATCAGGCGTATTTTACATATAAAGAATCTCATGAAAACTGCATCATCGAAGATTGTACTAATTCTAAACATTTTTAATTAAAACTTTCTTTTATTGGTACGGAACCTTTTACCACTCTCTCACCATTCTGCTACTTGCCAATAGGCACCGAAAAAAGAATTCCTCCTACTAAGCCCCTATGAAATATATCGTCGTCCATGCAGAGAATTTCGCTCGCAGGGGCGGCGTTAGGTAATTCAATTAATCCATATTTATTACTGGGGGGCCCCTTCCAAAAAACATTATTCAAATGTAATACACAAACGTGGGAGTCTCTACGTATAAAAGCCCCCCCCCCCACTGAACTGGACGGGCCCCTCATAAACAATAATAAGCCACTGCATTATTTTCATAATATTAAAATGAATCGGGAAAAATAGAACTGGGGGATCTGTTCTAAAATATTAGTACATGTATTGTTAGAGGGAAACGATACATGTTTGTGTGTGTGTGTGTGGATAATTTATTTTAATAAATATAAGAGTAATTAAAAACTAGGTGTAAATGGCATTTTGACCAATAAAGATAGAAAAGATACAAACTCAATGTGGTTTTTAAACAAATGAAAATGTACTTGGGAACAAACTATAATAGAATGTACAGAAAAGGTCTCTACTAATGAGCAAACAAAATCACGACATGAAAAAATATGTTGTAATTCTGAACAAATTGACAGTAAATAAAGGAAATGACTCTACTAATTAGTAACATAGGATTAAAATTGTAGAAAATATGAATAAAACTAAAAATGCAACAAATTTTAATTCACTGAAAATAGATCATATTCAAAAATGCATAACGACGAATTATTCTCCAGTAGAATTAATGTTTTCTCATAATATTTTTCAGTAGAATTAATGTTTTCTTACAATCTTTGCTAGTCAGTAGAGTTCCTTCTTCCTTTACTTATTTAGTTTGCTCGTCAGTAGAGTCCCTTTTGTACATCACGTTAAATTGCTGATTATTAGAATTTTTTAACTTCCCGTAGGGTAAGTTATTGTAATGGGCCGAAAATCGGAATTGAAAATTTTTACATTTCTCGACGTTTTGAAGGTTTCTGAACATTTTGGCATACCTCAGAGAAAATGGATGTGTGTGTGTGTGTGTGTGTGTGTGTATGTGTGTGTGTGTGTATGTATGTGTGGATACAAATTTCCAGTCACGTTTTAGGGCGCACGGATCAACCGATTTGAATGGTTCAAAAAACATCCGATTCCTATTGATAGGGAGAAGAACTGATTAGTTTTTGGCAAAGGCAGGTCCAGCAGTTACGGAGATAAGGAGCAAAGAGTGCAGAAAATAGAAATCGAGTTTTTGAGAGAACGGAGCATCCGATTTGAATGATCTAAAAAACATTCAATTAGTAATGATTGGCAGAAGGGGTTATTAGTTTTTCGCAAAGGCAGATTTTCGCATTACGGAGATACAGAGCTAAATATACAAAAAATGGCAGTTTTTAAGAGAACTAAGCGTCCGATTCAATTGATTCAAAGAACTTTCTGCTTGTCTTAACAAAATAATTGATTTTGGAAAAAAAAATTTTGTACCATTTTTTTTTTTTTTAAATTTTTTGTATATCGAAAATAATTCAGATTTTATTTTTAATTCTGACTATAGTTCTAATATACTTTAAACAAATAATTTCGACTCTGCAATTCAGTTTATATAATTCTTATAAATATTAGACAATGTTACAATATTTATAATAATCTATTTGAAAACATTCAATATTCCTCGAACATTTCGTTACGGTACGGGAAGTTCCAGCAATTTGCCTTAAGGCACGATGCCACCCACCCCACTAGTTTTTTTTTGTTTTTCAAGTTACTTTTTAACTTCACGTAAGGTAAGTTATAGTAATGGCCCGAAAATCAAAAATGAAAATTTCTTGCATTTATTTACGTTTCAGTGATTTCTGAACATTTTGGCATACCTCAGAAAAAAAGAATGTGTGTGTGTGTATATATGTATGGATACAATGTTTCGTCGACGATTTCGAGCGCATGGATCAACCGATTTGAATGGTTCAAAAAACATTCGATTCCTATTGATAAGGATATGTGCTGATTAGTTTTTGGAAAAGGCAGATCTAGCCGTTTCGGAGATACGGAGCAAAGAGTGCAGAAAATAGAAATCGAGATTTTGAGAGATCGGAGTATCGGATTTGAACGATCCTAAAAGCATTCAATAAGTAATGATTGAGAGAAGTGGTGATTAGTTTTTGGAAAAGGCAGGTCCCGCCATTTCGAAGATACCGAGCAAAATGTGCAAAAATTGGGAGTTTTTGAGAGAACTGAGCATCCGATTTGAGTGATTTAAACAACTTTTTTTGCTTGTTTTGACAAAATAACTGCTTTTAAGTTTTTTTTTATTCCAAATTTTTGTTATATCAAAAATAATTCAGATTTAAATTTTAATTCTGGCTAAAGATCTAAAGCTCACTTATATACTTTGAATAAATAATTTCAGTTTTGAATTTCAGTTTATATAATTCTTATAAACATTAGACAATGTTACAGTATTTATTTATAATAATCTATATGGAATCGTTTAATATTCTTCGAACATTTCATTACGGTACGAGAAGTTCCAACAATTTGCCTTAAAGCACGATGCCATACACCACTAGTTTTTCCAAATTTAAAGAACCACTTCTAGTGGGTCCAAAATATGTCATCAATATATCATTAATATTAACGGTGTAATTTTTGCAATTAAACCATTAGGTCAAATGCATTTTTCGTATGCCTATAATATTTTGGAATGTTCGATTGGTGCAAACGTTTTGACATTTGGTTTGATCCATCTTCAGAACAAGAGCATAAACAAAAATAACTGAATATTTATTTGAATCAATCAATTCATGTTAATTATTTTCTACTCACTCTCCTTCTAGATTGCTTGCTAGTAGACTTATTTTCTACATTTTATATATGAAGAAAAATGCAGATGATGAACAATTTGGGTAAAACAATAAATAAGCAAGTCTACATAAGAAATGAAATCACAAAAGCAAAAGTTCCAAAAATAAAAAGTGAACTATAAACAATAAACATAAAAGGCGTATATTTAATTTGGTTCTCGCACACCATGGACCTGTCTTTTGACACCAATTTATATATATATATATATATATATATAAATGTCGAACCCAACCCAGTTCCACCTCACCTCGTTATCATTCCTCTGATAACAGGTGTATCTCTTTGATAACAAAGCTAACGCATTCGATAAAACCGATTCTAACGAAACCATCTTGCTATAACAAATTTAATAAAAGTTACAATAATTAATAACAAATAATTATATTTAATGATTACAATCTAATGTAACCTCTAAATTACCAGAGTGTAGTTAAAAGTGTTGCCAGAGGAGTTAATTTATTAATTTTAGTAGTGGGTGAGTCATTGTTCTATTGATTTGGAACAAAGTGCGTAATATTGTGAAATTTAGGTAAAAATTGAAGTTTTTGTGAAATTTTTCTTGAAGGTAGGTAGAATATTATTTTTCATAAAATTAATATTATTTAGTCTTATTATTTAATATTATTTAAAATTGAGTATTTTTAATTATGATGAGTAAAAAATTATGACCACTCAGTGTGACCTAATTTGGTGTAATTAACATAAAGAACTCTACTGACGATGAATTGTTTTTTCAAATTTGTCCATCATCTCTAATTTGCTCTACTGATGTATCATTTAACAAAAAAGGACGATTAATCTAAAAGTGTGAAGAAAAAAGGACTCTACTGACAAGCAAATATGAAAGTTAGAAAAATGAGATAAAGAGGGACTTGTGCCTTAAGGCAAATTGCTGGAACTTTCCGAACCAATTTTTTTTTTTAAATTATTCCATTTTCTTTTAGTAAAAAAACGATTTTTGGATTTTTAATTTTTTTAAAAAAAATTTACCTTTTCAAGAAGAATCTTTTTTTTTATAATTTGAAATATTTTGAAAATTTTAAACTTGGTTTCGAAGAAATCGCGATACGTTAGCTGCGTAGAAACAAAATATAAAAGCGCGTGGGCGCTGCTAAACATAACGGGTAATCATTGGTACGGAACCCATAGAAAAGTGAAACAAATTAGTTTTTATTATTAAAATATTTATAAAATATGTGATACTTTGATAATACGAATCAAATGTTTTTTCAATTATTCAAATCGGTGTGCTTGAAATCGTCGACGAAAATTTGTATCCGCACACACACACACATACATCCATTTTGTGAAAGGCATGCCAAAATGTTCAGAAACCTCTAAAACGTAAAGATCTATCAAATTTTGTTGAAAAGGGAAAAAAATTATTGATTATCTAAATATATCATGATAAAGAAGGAACTGTACTGACAAACAACCTGAAAGGAGATTAGAAAAATAAAATAACATAAAAAAGTAGTTAACAAATTGTACTGCCAAGCAAATTGAGAAAAATAGTAAAGGTAAAAGAAATTTTACTGACGAATTAAAAAAAACACAAGGAACACTACTGACAAGCAAGCTAAAAAATTGGAAGAAAGAGCTCTACTGACCTACAAACTACATTCAAAATTGTAATTCACGAGTCACGTGATTCTACTGACAAGCAAACTGAACAAGTAAAGAAAAAAGAACTCTACTGACGACCATAAAAAATAGAAAAAAAACTGGAAACTCTACTGACGAACAAACTGAAAAAATAATAGTGACAAAAGAAACTCTACTGACGAGCAAACTGAAAAAATTTAAAAAAAACTCTACTGATGAGCAAACAATAAAAATAAAAGAAATATGGTTCTCTTCTGACATATAAAAGTCAATTCGTTGTGCTGAAAAAGGGACTTTACTGACAAGCAAACTAAAGAAAAAGCAACAAAACATGAACTGCGCTGGTCTACTACATTAGAATGAAAACTGCATTTTTAATAATGACTATTTTATTTTAATAATGAAATTTTTATAAACGAAAAGATAAAAGGGACTTTTCTAAAGTGCAAATAATCGACTTAGTAATGAGAATTAATATTCGGGTCGTCATCGATTTCACAAAACTACCCATTATTGTTCCCAACTAATTTTTGGAAAAGATAATAGAATTATTTTGTTATTTTTTATCAAAATAGTTTCAGCATTTTTTAACTACTTTTATAAAACATACCTAAGTCAATTTTACTTCAATTGAATAATATATTAATCATCCAACCTACAAAGAACATGTGTTAGTCATAGATCAAATAATTGTGAAATTTAAAAAGAAATGTAACTAAAATAATTTTTTTTAATAGATAAATTACTAGTAAAAATAATATTGTATATATTATATATATTTATATATAAATTCATTATAAAATTTTTAATATTATTAAAACAATAATATAAATAGTAAGTTTGTTATTTACATTTACGAAGGTGTATTCCAAATGCATCTTAATGTACGTACCTGTAACAATATTAATAAATTAGTAAAAAATTATATATATATATATATAATTATATATATTTTTTTAAGATAATTATAATTATAAATTTATACAAAAATATTTAGTCTTTAAACAAATGTGAGTAATGATTTTATCTAAGAATTTTAATTCAATGGAATGATAAGAGTGATAAGACATACTATTGGCCAAATATTTATGTGACTAATTTATGAACAATACTAAATTCATTATATATATAAATATATATATATATATATATATATATATATATAAATATATTTTGTGTATTACCAAATGCATTTTTTTCTAACAAAATTATGTCAATTCATAATGGCCCATTTTAATTATTCTGAAGTACGATATTCAATAAGCTCGTAAGACTACAATTTTCACTCCAGATGGTTGAATTTCAAGTATAATATACTATAATGTATTTACTAAAATACAATAATATAAAACGCAATTTGTTTATAAAAAAATTAAAAGTTGTGCATAATTTTGTCGAAGTTAAATCATGATTCATACATAATTAATAATGATTTTAGGAGTGACTTTTGAGGAGCTCACAAGACTATCATATTTACTCTAGGATAATAATTTATTTACAGATTTATTCCCTATACATTGTAGAATAATTCCCATATTTTTATAATTTTTTTTTCAGGAACAAAATTAAAAGAGATCTTCCAGAATGGTGAACGCAATGTCTGGAAAACGTCTTGTAAAATTGGAGAACAGGATAAACTGTGTCAAGTATACTTTGTTTTGCTTCAACGTCATATCATGGATAGTTGGTAAGAAATAATAATAAAATTATTATAATAATCCATCACATTGTCAATTCATCATGTACCAAATAAACTTTAACATCAAACTTCGTCTCAATTTGTTAAACTTTGTTTTGAACTTTTTGTGACCACTTACAAAATTAGATTACAAGATAATCCTATTATTTCCAGAGATATCTTACACTATAATAGAACCCTTAGTGCACGAGTTGAACTTACAAAATTGACACATTTGTCATTTTCGTAGATTTTTTTAACTTTTAATGGATAAAAAACATACATTTAGCTCATAAGAAAGTACTCGAGTCAATACAAAGAACACAAATTTTTTTAGGCTTCAGTAAAACTACCTGAATAAAAATAAATGACACAATCTGCTTTAATTTAGGTTTCTGCTATATATTTATTTTATCATTATTATCGAAAACCAAAAACAATTATAATTTAGTTCAAAAAAACTATAATTTCTTATTTAGATCTGGTCATTTGTTTTAGAACTCATCATCAGTTCTAGAACCCTCAGTGCATAAGTTAAATCTACAAAACAAATAATTCTAGGTTTTGTATAAATAGCTCAATAATTTCTTGATAAAATTGGTTGAAAACAAAGACTAATTTTTATTTATACCAATGAAAACAACAAATCTTTCTTAGAGCTTGACACTAGTTTTAAAACTTTTCACCAGTTCTAGAATTGTCAGTGCACGAGCTAAATTCACAAAGCAAACGTTTCTAGCTTTAGTATGAATAGCTCAAGTCTTTGTTGATAAAATTGGTTGAAAACAACAACCAATTATTATTTATTTTAAAGAAAACATCAACTATCACTTAGAGCTTGACACCAGTTTTAGAACTTGTTATCGGTTTCAAAACCCTCAGTGTACAAGTTAAATCTACAAAACAATTAATTCAAACTTTTGTATAGTTATATCCATTCTTGGTTGACAAAATTTGTGAAAAACTAAGACTAGTTTCCATTTAGTTTAAAGAAAACATCAAAACCTACTTAGGGCTCCTCACTAGTTTTAGAACTTTTCATTAGTTCCAGAACTCTCAGTGCACAAGTTAAATTTACAAAACCAACAATCTCAGTTTTTGTATAGATAACTTAATTCTTGGTTGATGAAATTAAAACCCAAGACCAATTATTATTTATTTTAAAGAAAACATCGAAACCTACTTAGGGCTCCTCACTAGCTTTAGAACTTTTTATTAGTTCCAGAATCCTCAGTGCACAAGTTAAATCTACAGAACCAATAATTTTAGTTTGAGTATGCATATTTTCATTCGTGGTTGATAAAATTTGTCGAAAATCAAAACCAACTCTTATTTGTTTTAAAGAAAACATCAATCTTACTTAGAGCTCGTCAACAGTTTTAGAACTTGTGATCAGTTCCAAAACCCTCAGTGCACAAGTTTAATTTACAAAACCAACACTTTTAGCTTTTGTATGGATAGTTTCATTCACGGCTAATAAAATTAGTCAAAAATCAATACCAATTATTATTTATTTTAAAGAAAACATCGAACCCTTCTTAGAGCTCGTCAACAGTTTAAGAACTTGTGATCAGTTCCAAAACCCTCAGTGCACAAGTTAAATCTACAAAACTAACAATTTTAGTTTTTGTATAGATAGTTTCATTTGTGCTTGATGAAATTGGTTAAAAACCTGGACCAATTTCAATTTAGTTTTAAGAAAACATCAAATTTTTCTTAAAGGTCGTCACCAGTTTTACAACTTATTTTTAGTTCCAAAACCCTCAGTGTACAAGTTAAATCTACAAAATCAACAAGTTCAGTTTTCGTATAGTTAGGTTTATTCGTGACTAATAAAATTGGTCAAAAATCAAGACCAACTATTATTTATTTTAGAGAAAATATCAAATCCTATTCAGAGCTGATCACCAATTTAGAACTTGTTTTTAGTTCCAAAACCTTCAGTGCACAAGTTAAAACCACAAAACCTACAATTTTAGTTTTTGTATAGATATCTCTATTTGTGGTTAATGAAATTGGTTAAAAACCAAGACCAATTTCGAATTAGTTTAATGGAACCATCAAATCTTACTCAGAGATGGTCACACAATTTAGAACTTATTTTTGGTTTTAAAACCTTCAGTGCACAAGTTATATCTACAAAACCAACGATATTAGTTTTTGTATGAATATCGCCATTTGTGGTTAATAAAATTGGTTAAAAAGCAAGACCAATTTCAAGTTAGTTTAACAAAAACATCAACTCTAACATAGAGCTTGACACCAGTTTTAGAATTGGTCATTAGTTCCAGAACCCTCAGTGCACAAGTTAAATCTACAAAACTAACAATTTTAGTTTTTGTATGGATATCTCCTTCCGTAGTTGATGAAATTGGTTAAAAACCACAACCAGTTTCGATTTAGTTTAATAAAAACATCAAATCTTACTCAGAGCTTGACACCAATTTAGAACTTGTTTTCAGTTCCAAAACCCTCAGTGCACAAGTTTAATTTACAAAACCAACATTTTCAATTTTTGTACGGATAGTTTCATTCTTGGTTGATGAAACTGGTTAAAAACCAATACCAATTTCAGTTTTGTTCAAGGAAAACATCAACTCTTACTTAGAGCTTGACACCAATTTTAGAATTTGTCTCTAGTTTCAAAACCCTCAGTGTTCAAGTTCTTTCTATCAAATCTACAAGTAAAGATTTTGCATGGTGACTTTTATGTCTGATTAGTCTATTTTGGTGGAAATCGAAAGCAAATCTTCACTTAGTAACAAGAAAGCTATTAGATATAGACCTCTTGACCAGTTTCAAAACCCTCTATACACAAGTTAAACCTACAAAAATATCATGTGTCACTTTTGCACAGGTTTTTCCATATTTGATCAATTAACTCCAGAAAAACTTGGGAATGACAAAAAACTTCAACTATTCAACTAAGTTTTCGCATTTACCAGTCAGACAAATCCTCAGCAAAAGATCCTTTACCAATCTATCTAATCTACAAAATTACCATTTTTTTGCAATTGTGGCTTTAGTTAAAAACCAGAAAATCATGAAATCTTCAACCAAGTCAACACTTCTACCAGTCAGGGATAAAATCTTCACCAAGACATCCCTTACCCTTGTACCAGTTAAAACCCCAAATTGACCTTAATTTTTTTTTATTTTTAGGTGCTTCAATGTTTGGTCTATCAGTCTGGTTAAAAGCTGAACCAGGTTTCCAGGAATGGGTTGACATGCTAAAAATCCACGACTATTATGCAGGTGTTTACATCCTGATCCTTGCAAGTGTTGTGGTTATGATAGTGTCCTTTGTTGGTTGCTGTAGTGCCTTGATGGAGAGCACAGGGTTATTGATGATCTATGCATCTATACAGGTAAGGAAACTAGTGGTGTATAGCATCGTGCCTTAAGGCAAATTGCTCGAACTTCCGGTACAGTGAAACATTCGAGGAATAGTAAAGGTTTTCAAATATGTTATTACAAATACTTTTAGTAACTTATTATTGCTATCTTGTTATTTCAAAAATATTTGCCTCGGATTATTTTCAATAATTTTCTCAGAGCTGGAAAATTGCACCCGTACAGTCACATTCTAAACGCACTCATGAAAACATTTGTACCGCGTTATCACTTAGACCGTGCCTAGCATGGGTCATTTTTCGATTTTTTTAAAACTCATATATACATTTCTATAATTTACATAAAAATTTGAAAAGTGTACAGTCACAATATCATTTTTAGATTTTTAACTCAAAATGTAATTTTTATAAATAATTTACATAAAATTTGAAAAGTGCTCCGGTGAAGTAACAATCTAATCGCACTCGTGAAAACATTTGTACCAGGTTGTCACTGGGACTGTGCTTAGCTTGGTTAATTTTCGTAATTTTAATTTTTAATTTTTTTACTTCAAAATGGCATTTATTTAATCATTAGCCGTAATCAATAGTAATAAACTATTGAAAAATGTGAAAATGTCGCCAAGCTGAGCACAGTATAAGTGGAAATGTCGCACAGATTTATTTGCAAATGCGTTTAGACTATGACTATGCGGCAGCACTTTTTCAATTTTGTGTAAATTAGGCAACTATTTTTTTGATAAATTGATTTATGATTTACATTTGATTTGCTCAGATATAACAAGATAATGCAAAAATAATAAAGAAAGTTTTAGTATTTGTAATAATATATTTGAAAATGTTTAAAACTTTTCGAATATTTCATTATCATATTTCATTGGGAAGTTCCAGCAATTTGCCTTAAGGCTCGATGTCATACACCACTAGTTAACATTTTCATTTGCTCGTCGGTAAAATCTAAAGTAAATCAAAAGTAAAGTTTGTTTTCATAAAAAATCAGATTCGCTAATTTTATGTTTTCTCGACGTTTCAAGCCATTCTGAATCGAATGAAATCAAATTTGGAAAAAGTATGTGTATGTGTGAGTGAACAGATTTTTTGCCGTAAATCGACGTTTTCTCGAAAACGGCTGGGCCGATTTCAAAAATTTATAAGCTGTTCGATGTATCTCGACGAGGACTATCGTTTGTCAGTATCGTTTGTGCGACGATCTGCCAAGCCGTTTCTTTATAAATGGCAGAAAAGTGAAAAAATTTTCGTCTACGTTTTAGCCCGCAATTCTGAATCGATTTTGAAAATTCAAAAACCGTTCCAAAGATATTGGTTGGGAATCGTGCTGATTAGTTTTTGGTAGAGATCGGCCGGGCCGTTTTCTTGTAATAAAGTTTTTTTTAAAAAAAATTCGACGATTTTTATGATTATTTTTTTGACGGTAGATACCATAGTCTTCTATATCATACTAAAATATTACGGCCCTACGACAACTCGTTTAACTTTAAAAATTCGTCAAAGTTTGCAAAAATTAGTATCGTTTTTTTGGCATTTGTCAAAATTAGACCTTTCATTGACGTTTTCTCAAAAACGCCTGAACCGATTTCAGAAATTTAAAAACCATTTGATGTATCTTGATGAGGCTTATCATTTCTCAGTTTTGTGCGACGATCGGTCGAGCCGTTTCTTTGCAATTTAATAAAAAGTGTTAAACTTTTCGTCCACATTTAAGTTCATCCTACCGAATCATTTTTAAAAAAACAAAAACTATTCGAAAGATATTAGATGGGAATAGTATTGATTAGTTTTAGGTGAAAATCTACCGAGCCGTTTTCTTGTAATTAACTGTTGAAAAAATATTTAAGCCGATTTTTATGGATTTTTTTAGCGATATATACCATGGTCTTATAGAACTTACTGAATGGCCTTACGACAAATAGTTTGATTTTAAAAATTCATCAAAGTTTGAGAAAATGAGTAGCTCTTTTAACGTTTGTTAAAAATAAAATTACATGATATGGTATAACGATAGTATACTTGGTCTTGCACATAATAAACCATTAAAGTCCTGAAAACTGGTTCAATTATAAAAATTATTGATTTTTGAAAATTTGCTTTCAGAAAATACTCCGCGTCAAAGTGTTCGTTCGTTTTCAATTATGTGTAATAAATCCACTCGGAATACTTTTAATGACTCATAAATTAATTTATGTTTTATTGATTAAGTCGATTAATTACTTATATCGGGAAGTTCATGTAACTTGCATCAAGGCTAAATACCAAACCAACTAGTTTAATTTTGGATTAAAAATTCAAAAAACCACCCAGGCTAAGCACAGTCTAAGCGCCACTCTGGTACAAATGTTTACGCAAGTGCGTTTAGACTGTTTATGTAATGGAGCAATTTTCCAATTTTGTGAGAAACTATTGAAAAATGTGAAAATGCCGCCAAGCTAAGCACAGTATAAGTGAAAATGTCGCACAGAATTATTTGCGAATGCGTTTAGACTGTGACTGTATGGAGCACATTTCCAATTTTATGTTAAAAATAAAAATGTAATTTTACAAATATATTTGAAAGTGCGTTTAGACTGTGACTGCACTGGAGCACTTTTCCAATTTTATGCCAATTATAAGAAATGTAATTTTGGGTTAAAAATTAAAAAAATCACTCGTCTAAGCACAGTCTAAGCGACAACCCGGTACAAATATATTTGAAAGTGCGTTTAGACTGTGACCGTACTGGAGCAATTTTTCAATTTGATAAATGTAGTAGTAAATTTTAGAAATGTAAAATTTTTGGTCGAAACATTTTCTACTACAAATTCAATTCTATGTCCTCCTCCAGGTATTATCCTTCCTCCTCGGCATGTTCGGAGCGGGTGCCCTGCTCCACTTCAGCACCATGAACTCGGCCCTTCAACCCTTAATTCGGGACAGGGTTCGCGACCTGATAGCCAGGTCGACCTATCCAGGTGAGCAGGAAACCTTGAAGTTGATTCAGGAGAATATCGCCTGCTGCGGAGCAGACGGGCCCATGGACTATATGCATTTGCGACAACCTTTGCCCAGCGAATGCAGGGACTCTGTTACTGGGCATGCGTTTTTCCACGGATGTGTGGATGAGATCACTTGGTTTGTGCAGGTAATAATGGATAGTAACTAGCTGTAAGTGGAATTCTGTCTTAAGGCAATTAAGGCATCGTGCCTTAAGGCAAATTGCTGGAACTTCCCGTACCAAAAATTATTATTTTTTTTTTAAACGTTTAACATTTTTGAAAAAAAATTACTTCGAAAAAATAAGATGTTTGAGAAACTATACATTGGACAAAAAATTACTTTTTTTGAAAATAAAATTAAAAAAAAAAAAAAAATTTTTTTTTTTTTTTTTGAAAAAAATTTCTTTCTTTATTTTGACATATTGTGGAAGATCTGAACTTTTTTTTCAAAGCAATCGTACTGCTTTAACTGCATACGGACAAAATATAAAGCGCGTAAGCACCACGTCGCTGTCTAACGCATAAGCATTGGTACGGAACCCATAGGAATGTTAACAAAATTCACACTTATTGTTAAAATCTCTAAAAAATATCTGATAATTTGATGTGCATATGTCTAACGATCATTTTTGACCGCCAAATGGCATTTTTTTTTTACTTTTTTCACTAGATCTCCGAAACCGCTAGACCTGCCTTTATGAAAATTTGATCGGTTTTTCATCTTGTCAATACAAGTAAAATGTTTTTTAAATTATCAAAATCGGACGCTCTGTTCTCTTAAAAACTGAGTTACCGTTTTTGGCACTTTTTGCCCCGTATCTTCGGAACGGCTAGACCTGCCTTCGCCAAAAACTAATCAGCACGTCTCCTTATCAATACAAATCGAATGTTCTTTGAATTAATCAAATCGGTTGATCGGTGTTCCCGAAATCGTCGACGAAAATTTGTATCCGCACATACATACACATACATACATACATACATACATACATACATACAACATACATACATACACACACACACACACATATATCCATTTTTTCTAAGGTATGCCAAAATATTCAGAAACCTTTGAAACGTCGAGAAATGCAAAAATTTTCATTTTCGATTTTTTTGCGATTACTATAACTTGCCCTATGGGAAGTAGGTAAATTGCTGGAACTTCCCATACCGTAATGAAATAGGAAAGAACTCGATAACGAGAAAAATATTTTTTGACATAGAAATAATGAATCGACTACCAAACTAAAATTCGACATAGAAACATAAGAAAGAACTCTACTGACGAACTAAAACTAGATGTATAATAAAAAAGGACTCTACTGACGAAAAAACTAGATCTAGACTTCAAATAAAAAAGGACTCTACTGACAAGCAAATTCAATAACAAAACAAACAAAATACAAAGAAGACTACTGACAAACAAACTGGGTTCAGACAAATCATAGAAAAGGACTCTACTGATGAGCAAACTGAAATTAGATAAATAACACAAAAAAGGACTCTACTAACGAGCAATTTGACTAACTAACTTTCACTATTTTTATCTGAGCTATCTTCTTATATCCGAGGAAATCAAATGTAAATCATGAAATCATGTATTGTTCTCTAAAACAATAACAATCGTCATTTCATTTTGCATTCAATTTAAAAAAAAAATTGTTGCCTAATTTACACAAAATTGAAAAAGTACGGTCACAGTCTAAACGCATCTGCAAATAATTCTGTGCGACATTTTCACTTATACTGTGCCTAGCTTGGCGGCATTTTCACATTTTTCAATATATGATGCCATACACCACTAGTTACATCTTTTCAAATTTTCCATAAAATATTTTTGTAATTTTGGATTTTTGTAAAATAATATTTTTTTTGCATAAACAATTTTTAAAACAGTCTAAGCACAGTCTAAGTGATAACTTCTTGCGATATGTCAGCAATTATATTTAGATTGTGATTATACGGACCACTTTTCCAATTTTGTGAAAAGTATTGAAAAATATAAAAATGACGCCAAGCGAGCACAGTCTAACTGAAAATCCTGAACAAATATATTTGTAGCTGGATTTAGATTGTGACTTTACGGGAACACTTTTCTAATTTTGTAAACAATTTGTATACTTTCATAATTGAGAGAAAATGAAAATTAGTTTTCACAAAATTGAAAAAGTGCTCCCGCATAGTCACAGTCTAAACGCATTTGCAAATAATTCTGTGCGACATTTTCACTTATACTGTACTCAGCTTGGCGGCATTTTCACATTTTTCAACAGTTTCGTCGTTCTCACCAAATTGGAAAAGTGCTCCAGAATCTATTTTCGACACGCATTTTGTCACGGAAATTGCAATAATACTTTTAAAACTATTAAACAAACGAAATATTCAATTCGACAAATATAAACAAAATTAAATAATTTACAAAATTTTCTAATACTACTTATAAGTACCTACAGAAACTCGGTTTACTTTAAAATTGCATTTTGATACAAAAACATTTTCTTATCTTCCTAATTTTAGCGTAAAAATATTTAATAACTAGGTAAATTATAACTAAATTTATAAACTAGGTGCAAGTGGCATTTTGCCTTAAAGCAAGTTGCAATAACTACTTGAAAGGTGCAATAATTGACCTAATTAAATTAGTATCCACACATACATACACATGATTTATACACATATATATATATATATATATATATATATATTTTGTATGATTCTGAATTTGATGTTGACATATGTATTAACAAAGTCTAATAATCGGGCATAACATCAATAAAAAACATGAATTTCTTCAAAAATTTATTTTAAATCCATACGTTTCGGCTATAATCCTAGCCTTCATTCAGTGGAAACTAAAATAAAATTAAAAACTAAAACAATTGAATTGGAGTGAAAAGAAAAAAATAAAATAGTAATTAGTACTTACATTAGTTGATCTTAGTGTTAGATTGGAAAATTAATAATCCATGGTATTAGGATATGGTAATGCACTACACTATGTATTATAAACATAACTTGAAATTACACAATATTTTCACAAAATACTGATTTGAAAAAATCACAAATGAATAGTGTGTTATTCGTAGACTGGTTGAAGATGTAATGGAGAAAGTCATTTTTTAAAAAATATTTTTACCAAGATTCTGCACATGTGTGGAACGAATTGTAAAACCTTTGCGCGAACGCTTTTATTGTTTTGTAAGAAATTTGGAAATGTTATCTAAATAGAAAGATTTTGTCGCACAGCGTGTTGAGTTCATTCCGTTTATTTATTGTCTTATTGTTATAAATAGTTAAAAAAGATCCCTCTATAATTCTTCGTTTTAAATAAATTTTGTTCAATTGTAGTATAGTCGGATTAGAAAAGTCCATATTGTGTTTTAAAGTGATATATGGTCTGCAAGAACAGTTTTGAATTGTTTTGGGGTTTTTTGAATTGTTTTTTATGTTGTTGTAACCGTTTATTGAGGTTCTGGCTAGTTTCTCCTATGTAAATTAAATTGCAGTCTAAACAATTATTTGATAGACGAGATTTCTGAGACGTTCGATATTAAATGGGGTTTTTGTTTTTGTAAAAATAGTGCTAGTAGTTGTACTAAAATTGGTTACAAGTCGAAGTCCAGATTTATAAAAAAGTTTTTTCCAAGGAACATACAATTCTTTAATGTATGGCAACATATTACACCAGAATGAGTTTCTGAGTCAGGTAAATCGTTATGTACTGTGCAATTGTCCATTTTATTCAAAAGTTACGTTCGTCTGTTACTAGTTACGGAATTTATAAGTTTTAGGGGATAAGAGTTATCTGTTAAAATTTTTGTAATTAATTTGATGTTGTTGTCCCAAATGTTTTTCCGATAGAAGTATTGCGTGGTCCGTTAGATTTAT